AATCTTTAAATTTTCCCGGTTTTGTAATTGTATCTATATTTATACATTTGAAATTGAGTACATTTGATTATTATTATCCAATCAAATTTTTGAATTTCGACGAAATTTACACACTGATCAGATCAGATCAGATGGGTAGAGTTATCAGGAAAATCCATTGGTGCTGATCCGTTCCCATTCAACATACTAATACGGTAAGACCCCACAAATGGTAGCCAAAAGCGGGTATCAAATGGTATTGATTTTCTGAAGATTATTGGTCTTGAGATCCAAAAAAGGAAATATAACACCAAAAAGACAATCGTATGTTTTGAAGCCTTTTTTTTTTTTTTGCTGAGTAAGGACATTCATTTCGCCAGATCCAATATGTTTTTTGATCGTTTGATTTTTGATGAAATTAAAACATCTAGAAATATAATAATGTGATGAGTATATAATAAAGAATAATAGCATTTATAAAAAACGCAATATTTACAACATTCATTACCAGATCCAAGATATCCTTAAAAATCATGTATTTTTCCGCAAAAATCATCCGCAATTTTGCGCAGCATCATGAAAATATCCAATTTTATTGGTGGGTTGGATGCGTGTTATCCTTATTTAGAGATTGATTTGGTGATTGCAGATGATTTTTGCGGAAAAATACATGATTATGATGATATCCTTTAATTATCTTTTTTGTTGGCTTATCGAAAACGCCAAGAAAGTTTATGAATCAGATTTTTTTAAAAAAAACCCCCCAAATAATTTGATTTAATATCATCATTAATCTCAGTTTGTTAACATTACTGATTACGAAAAGCAAAATACCAATCGTTTATTTTGTTGTCATCTTGATAAGGATCTTATAATTACTCAGAGAGTTCTGCTCCGCGTTTTGATTTCAATAACATATCAATGCAAATTAAAATATAGTTGCCTCTGTTGGTTATTAACACGTCTTCAGAGCCATGCCAAACAACATCACTCGCGTTTTGTCATCTGTCAAAAAATAAATTGTTTTTCCAAAAAAAAAAAAAATCAATCGCGTCAATCAAAAAAAACACCAAGTGCCAATAATTTAATAGTACGCGTATGATTTTTGTTTTGATTTTTTGTAAATTAAATTTGTTGTATTTGTAAATAAACAGTGGTACGGGAAATATAGAATGGTCTCTCCCTGCTCACTTGCACATCCTCGATTACAAAACTTGTTTCTGTCTCGTTTGATATCCTTGTTGTGTAGCCATTGCCATACATACACTTCCTGGTCATAAATATAAGGACACTTGCAGACCATCGAAAATAATTGAATAAAGAAGCACGAAAAAAAATAAAATTTTTGTTATCCTAATCACATTTGCTTATTAAGTAAAAAATCATCTTCATATCAAATAGTATAATATAGTGAAGTTTCGCCGCATATAAATAAACGTTCATTGTTTTACGAACCTTAAAAAATAAAATGAATTTTTCGGAATTTTCGAAAAAAAATCTTTAACTCGAAAATTTACCACAATGGCAGGTTCTAACGACCTTTGTGGTATAAGTAAAAAATGCGTCTTATGTTTAAATCTAGTTATATCTAAAATTCTAGAGCATTTGGTAGATTAATTAATAAGAAAAAAAAATAAAACGTAGAAAATTTTACGAACGATTCAACCTCAAACTGCTCACCAATTTGAAACATAAAAGACATCAAAGAATATATGAAACTGTTTTGAATTGATTGTATTTTATTAAAAAAAAAATCAATATCTTGCCGGGTTTCCTTTATTTTTTAAAACAGCATCCACTCTTCGTGGCCATACTATTTATTAATCTATTAATTCTCCCCAAGATAGTATTAAACCATTCCCATTAATAAATTGAATAGTTCTGTTTTATTTTTGGTTTTGGATTTCTCATTCTAAGTTTTCTTTTTAAATCCTGCCAGGTCTAAGAGCTGGAGTTGTTTTATTTTTTTGGAAAATAATCATTAATGGTCTTTTCGACTGCAAATTTGGATCTATTTAATATGCGAGCTATTTCTCTATAAGAAAAATCAGCCTTTTTTAAACCAATAATTTCCCCGCGTTCGAATTCAGATAATCGAGTAGCTTTCGACATTTTAAATTCTCTTTAAAAAAATAAAATGGTTGAAATTTACCTTTAAACGAATTATTTTCAAAATTAATTCGTTTGAGTATTTTGTATGACATCTTGGCAATTAATTTACTAAATGATCTAGAATTTTGGATATAACTAGATTTAAACATAACACGCATTTTTCACTTATACCACAAAGGTCGTTAGAACTTGCCATTGTGATCAATTTTCGAGTTAAAGATTTTTTTGAAAATTCCGAAAAATTCATTTTTATTTTTTAAGGTTCGTAAAACAACACGTTGTTGTTTATATGCGGCGAAATTTCAGCATATTATACTATTTGATATAAGATGATTTTTTACTTAATAAGCGAATGTGGTTAGGATAATTAAATTTTTATTTTTTATTTTCATGTTCAAGTGTCCTTATACCGTAAAGTCTGGAAAGATAGCACCCCCTACTTTAAAACATAAAACAATTGAGCGTCAATATAAAAAAAATGTTACACATATGTAAAAAGGGGATGCTATCTTTCCAGACTTTACGGTATTTATTTATTTTGGTTCAACTAAAAGAAAAACACATAATGATTTAATTAATTTATATATTAATAATATAAGTAAATAAACGTTTTGGTAAACCACGGGCCTAGCTACCAGTCAATGTTCTTTAAATAAATTTATTATTTTATCTTCCGTGGCCCCTCACGTGTTTATATTTCTGCGCTCCACATGATTTTACTGTTGCGGAAGGGTTTATTCGTTCAAATAATATCAGTATTTTTTCACTTCACTTTTTTTATTTATTTTTTTCTTTATTGGCTTTTCCCATTACATAATTCACAGAGTTGATTTTTTATAGTTTTGCAATGTAATAGAATAACAATCCACAAACGGTTCACTGACAAAGATAACCTTTTATTAAATGAAATAAAATAGATGCAAACAATAATAGTGTGTAAATATGAAACATTTTATTTTTTACTTATTATTATTTAATGAAATAAAGTTGCTGTTTGCTTTTTCTTATATTGATTACTGATGATGGGACAATTAAATTCAGACTACAATTGTTTTTCATGGATCAGTTAACTAAAATTTTCAATTTCTCTTTTTTTAATTGTTTGCTTAAAACTATTTCACTATTTCATCTAAGTTTAATTCCATTTATATACTTCAATTTTAAAACAATTATAAAAAAACTTACAGAGTGAACATAAAATTATATATATAGGGGTAGGTGTATATGAAAAGTAATAATAAATACAATGGTTCTAATGAATATCAAAAGGCCATTGATTTTTTAGAAAAAGGTTGTGACTGTGGTTGTTCTGAAAGAAATTCCCAAAGAACAATTTGCAGAATTAAGAGAATCCTTCCAAGCTCTTTCCAAGTCTGAACAGGACATATTTTTAATGGCCCAGTTAAAAGCAATGGATGGTGGGTCAATAAGCAG